GGGGAACCGTCCTAAGTGGGGACCCTCTTTTCTTAAAACTTGAGGACATTCAAAGAAAACCAAATCATAAAGTAATACATGTTGATGACTAATAAACAGTTTAAAAGTTCACTTCTCTAATAATGAAAACTCAAATTATAACAATAGTAAAGTAAGATTTTACAGATTAAGTTGGAAAACATAAAAAAGTAACTAATAACTGCTCACCAAGGCTAGGGCGGGTAGGTAAATCTTCACTGCCAGAGAAGGCAGCGTGGCCCCTTTGGGGAGGTGATGTGAAAATCTACATCCAAAGCCTGACAAATGTCTTTTGAAGTAAAAAAAAAAAAAAAAAATCTGTTTCCAGGAGTTTATCTTCAATAAATAATCAGACACCTATGGGAAGACTTACTAGGAAAGAGTAGGACCCACCCTTGATATCTGGTTAAATTAATAAACACAGGTCAACAAAAGGAGCACTACATGGGTGTGTAAAAGGTGTGGAAGGATGTTAATGGTTTGGAATGTCACAACATGCTGTGAAGTAAAGAAAATAGGTTTCGGGGGAGCTGGGGTTGTGGCTCAGTGGTAGAGCATTTGCCTAGCATGTGCGAGGCACTGGGATCAAGCCTCAGTACCACATAAAGATAAATAAATAAAAGTATTATCCGTCTACAACTAAAAAAAAGAAATTAAAGATATTTTTAAAAAGAAAGAAACAGGTTTCAAAATAATTTCATCTCTTGAGAAAAAGAATATATATAACTCCACTACATTGAACCTAAAGTAACTAAGTGCACCACTTAATATTCTTTAGTTATTAGAAGTATTAAATGATTATTAAACACACCATTTGTATTTACCACTAAGAAACAAAAAAATTCTGCCAATTAAACTATAATGAACCATAGATTTTAGCATCCATCATGATGTTATTTGCTTATTTTTATTCATTTATTCACTCTTGTAGTGATTGAACCCAGGGCCTCACATTTGCTAAGCACGTGCTCTATCATTGAGCTATAACCCCCGGCCCCACATGATGAGCTTGGAGATGTTAAAATGAAATATATGTCCTGGAATTGATAAAATACTATATGTGCCCCATATTCCTTCCATTCTAAAGCACACTTCTTCCTCCATATTTTACTACCTGGTATTTAACACCTTACAATCAGGTGCACTTACTACCTTACAGTTAAGGGAGTGCTTCTCCCAGCACCCTCACCCCACATACACCCCATCGGGAGCAAGAGAACATTTTATATGTATTATATTTTCATGAGATAGACAGAAAGAAATACATTAGAATGTTAATTGTAGTTTTCTCCAAATGGCAGGATTTCAGATCATTTTAATTTCCCTCCTTGTTTTTTCTACAATTTACAAATTTTCTAAAATGAAGTAGAAAAAAATCTAAACAGCAACAATCAATCCAGCATCATCAGTTCCCAGATCCACCCCACTGCAGAACAGCGAGGGCATGAGGCTAAGGTCCTGTGGGCTCCCTGTCCCTGTCTTCCCAGGACCTGGGAACCCTCAGAGGAGACATCTAAAGGGCCTCTGGCAGCTCATCCCCAAACCAGTGTCTCACCACTTTAAAACTCTGTGTTCACAGAGGCTCCCTGCAAGCTTCCCTCCCCCACCACCTCACTCTCCCTCCTTTCTGGCACCCAGTCCCATGGAGGCACCCATGGGAGGCAAGTGGACTTCATCCCAAAGCCAGTTCCCATTCCTGGGATGATGAGCAGTGGCCGCCAGAGCACCTGCTGGGAGGATTCTGAGGCCAGGCTGAAGTTCAGGGGGGGCAGGTGTGCCTGAGGGATTGGTCACACCTGCCAGGGACCATGGGACACACTGCACACTGCTGAGGCCTGAGAGAGTCCTCCCAGCTCTTGGTGTGCTTTCTGACATCTGCTCTCTGTGTCTCCCTGACCTCTAAGCAGACGCCTCATGTGTACAGCCGGCAAAGGGGAAGACATCCTGAGCACACTGAGGACCGTGGCAGGGGGCTATGAGGGCCAGGCTCAGCAGCATGAGCTAGACAAGCTCACCCCTGCCCGCCAGCCCTGGGCGGGAAAGCAGAACGCACAGGCAGCGGAGACCCACAAGCCAGCAAGGGCACGCACCTAGAGTGTCTGCCCTCCAAGAGACAAGGCAACAAGGCTCCCCTGACCGTCCATCAGGGGGTGGAAGATGCATGTGGCACACACAACACACAGCTCATTTATTTATTAATTAGGCAAAGCCACATGGATGAGAATGAACTTGAGAGTGAAGGAAGCAATTGGCACAAAACCACAAGCATTGTTGTACCTTTGATTAAAAAGGAAATAGAAACCAAGTTGCATATGGCTTAGAAATATTCATCCTGTGAATAAACTGTATGAGAAAAGCAGTAGAGTGTATGAGAAAAAGCTTAGGGTACCCCTGGGCTCCGGGCAGGCAGGACACAGGACTCAGAAGGGAGGAGAAGGGGCAGCAGGCTGGAGCACCCCAGGGGGAGCTGGTGGCCTCCTGTGCCCATTTCACACTGTGCTTCATCACAACAGTTAGGGTGTTACAGGATACGGTAGGCACCACCCATTAATTGAAGGAACTGATTTTCACATTTAATGCACTACTCAACTAAAAACAGGCCTCATGCCGATCTGTGGACTAGAGCCTGTCACGTCTGCAGAGGGACTTCCTGGGTGACCCGGTCCTACCTGCCCAGCTGTGTTTCTCTTGGACAGTCTCTGAGCTTCAGCAGGAGCCCTCGATGGGCAAAGCCTTCCTCTCACCGTTTCCAAGCTGTACGGCCATGAGATGCCCATAGAAACAGCTCCCTCCTCTGTGCAGCAAGGAATTTGGGTGAATCACTTTCAAACACTATCTCTATTACATTTTCCCCATCAGTGTGTGTGTGTGTGTGTGTGTGTGTGTGTGTGTGTGTGTTGCTGGGGATCCTTCCCAGGGCCTCCTGTAGGCTAAACATGTGCCTGCCACTGAGCTATGCCCCAAGCCCCCTTTTAATCAATTTGGAGATCATTCACCCCCTTCACCCTACAACGACTGTAATGACAATATGAAATACTGTACAGCATTTTATCTGCAGCAAGCTCTAAGGCTGTTTTTGTAGTTATTACTTCAAATTAATAACACATTATTCATAGTAACAGAGATACAGAAGCCACCTACACTTTTGATCCTCAGCAAGTGGCAGAACACGCAGTCCTTAACCTCTGTGTCCGTGAAGAGGGTATGTTGCCCAGAGATAGGTAGTCATTAAATGAAAAATCCCAACAGCCATGTGGTCAGATCCCAGCTGTGTGGACAGATGCTGACACCTGGGCATAACCAGCCGAGGAGACAACAGCGTATGGAGAGCAGACACTCCGCCATAACGCACTTCTCCTCAAGCTTCTCTACAACTAAACGGTGCAACCCGCCCAGCTCCAGACACTCCTGGGAGGAGACTGGGCCCCAGATGGGCTCCAGGGAACCCGAGGTGTTAAGTGGGGGTGCTCTTTTAAGGTCAGGGGGCAGCCTGGCCCCAGAACAGGACCAGCAGTCCCAGACCCTGTGTTTCTGAATTTTGTGTTTTAACTGCAAATCCAGCTGACTCCTTGTTGTATGTATACACACACACACACACACATAAACCCACATACACACACACACACATACACACATACACATAAACCCACATACACACGCCCACACACATACATACACACACAACACACACATGGACTGGTGAGGGAGACCTCACTCCATCCCCAGGGCCTGCTCTCTGAGTTCCCCAGAGGGCCTGCAGCAGGGAGAGGACACCCTGAGTGCCCAGCAAGGTGTCTCTGGAAAGCAGCGCCCATGCCCAGGACGGGCGGAGCCACAGCCAATCACAGGGACCAACGGGCCACGTAAACATCAGGCAGGTCACACCAACTGCAGGCTTAGAAAGCATCATGTTCATTTAATTACCAGGCAGGGCTTTTGAAAACCAATTTTAAGAGCTAATTTAAAAGTGGCTGTTCTGCGGGGACAGGGTCATGGCAGACACTACTAAAACTGAAGGCAGCACTCTGATGGCCTGGGGGTGGCTCTTCCAGCCACACACCCAGAGAACAGCCACCAGCAAGCAATGGCCACAGCAGGCCTCCCTGCCAAGGCTCGATAGCATGGAGAATCAGCAGGGCCTTCACAGGCTGAGCGCATGCCCTACACTGAGCCACACCCCAACTCCAGGAGTCACGAGTCTGGGGGGCGGAACTCATCGGGCACCTCAAACCCGGGGTCCGCAGAGCAGCTGGACCAACGTGAACAGTGCTACGCATCCCTAAAGGAAGCAGGTCCCCAAGGATTGAAAGGAAGTGTCTAGAGCTTCCAGTCCCCCAGGAATGGCCGTCAGGAGTGTGTGGTGTGGGGAAAGGAGAGGTTCTAAAAGGGCATCTGAAGGAAGAGGCCATCTCTATAAAAAGAAACCAAAGGCCACTTTGGTAAGTGCCAGTGACTGTATGTAATAACACAAGAACATTCTGGAAAGAAATACATTTAAATCATCACACAGGTTACCTCAGGAAAGACAGAAGGAACCAGGACTGGACAAGATTTTTGAAGGGCACATGGGTCCCTGTGTCACCTCTGTATTTACAGTTGATTTCTTCAAGTCTCAGCAATTCCTTGATTCTTGAACATATGTCTACAAGTCTTTGGCTTATTTAATGTATCAAAGGAAGTTTACAGGAGGGGTCTTCTGCCAGAAGGTGTCTGCTGCAGCACCATGCCCACCTCTGCCCCCCAGCACCCACCCACAGCTGGGCCACGGGCACATGTGTCAGGAGGACGTGCCGGGGCCTCTGGTCACCTCCACCACCCTGAGTCCACAGCACATCTCAGGCAATGCTGGGGCCTCCAGAAGGGAGTTACCTGGCAGCAGTGCCGCTTCACTAAGAGGACCCCGTGGTCACCACCCCCTCCCTGGTGACCATGAGAGCCACCTATTTTAAAGTTTGGCACAAGCCAAAGCAAGGGCCCCATACCTGTCAAAGACCACAGCGGCATAAGCCCGCTCGGCGAAGATGATGTCTGCTGCCCAGAACTCCTTGGTGGCCTTCAGTCCCCGGCCCTTGCCCTCAGAGTTGAAGACCTCCACGTTCTCCATGCTCCCTATTGTCATCTCAGAGTCTGCGGGTGCACGGGGGATGTCAGCGCTGGGCCAAGCCCTTTGTCACTGCTGCTATTTCGGCACCTTCGGCATCCCAAAGAGCAGGACTATAAATGGACAGGCCACCTCCCCTTCCCTGCCCCCTTGGCCTTGGGCCCTCACCTCCCCCTCTACCTCGTTCCTGGAGGCAGGAGTAGGCAGGCAAGAGGACAGCAGCAGGGCGAGGGTCTCACTTGTCACCCAGCACAGCGGAGAAAGCAGAAGATGCCGTGGGCAAGTGCAGCCCTGGGATGGGGCCTGACCAGTTCTGAAAGGTTCTTTGCAAAAAGAAGCTGTGTGCGTGTGCGCGTGTGTCGGCTCAGCTGGAGCTGGAACAGGGAGCCGGGCAGGAGGGTATTTTTAGCAGCCAGATGCCTCTATCAATCAAGAGCAGACCTCCAGAGTGGCCCAAGGGAAGAGGAAAGGTGGCCTGCTGCTCTGGGACCCTTCAGCTGTCAGGCTCGCATTTCCCAAGCCGGACGCTCCTCCCACCCCAGTCTCTCTGCCTAGTGGAATGCTGCTTAACAGAACTGCACAGGTTCCAAGGGGCATTGCTCCTCTCCAGCACCACCTGGGGCTCCCAGGTGTGCCCCCCCAGGTGGCATGAAGGTCCCAGGCGTGCCCCCTGCCAGGTGTTATGGAGGTCCCGGGCGTGGCCCCCCCAGGTGGCATGGAGGTCCAAGGGTGTCTTGTCCTTAATATCACTGGCCATGCAGCTGTGTCAGAGGCAGGCTGGGCACAGGGAAGGCCGGCTTCACAAACACCGGCCCCTGTCTCCATCCACCCATCAACCTCCCCTTAAACACCATCTACTGCCAGGAGAACACCAGCGTGCTCTGTCTTCCTCGCCTGGTGCCAGGGCCGTGGAGGGACAGTTCTGAGATCCTCACTGAACTAAGTGCCACTCTCCCTAGCCATCAGGCACATCTCACGGAAGCCGAAGAAAAGCCCAGGTCTGGAAATGTGGCTTATCCTCCCTGTAGTACTTCTAGTTTCTGGATACCTCCTGCCATGGTTTGAATGTGTCCCCAGAGTCCTTGTGCTGGACACCTAGTTCGCAATGCAACAGTGTTGACAGGCAGGACCTTTGGGGGGCGGGGTGGTTCCCAGAGTCTCCACCCTTGTGAGCATATTAAGATTAGGGTTAGTGTTAGGGTTAGGGTTAGGGTTACGTGGTGGGTGGTTCCCAGGGTCTCCACCCTTGTGAACACATTAAGGTTAGGGTTAGGGTTAGGGTTAAGGGGTGAGTGGTTCACAGGGTCTCCACCCTTGTGAGCACATTAAGGCCATTGTCAAGGGAGTGGGTTAGTTATTTTGGGTTCCTGATGAAAGGATTGATAAAAGTTTGGCCTCTGTCTGTTGTCCACACCCCCGACCCCCCCGCGCCTCTTGCTCTCTCTCCCTCCCTCCCTCCCTCCCGTCCTCCTTCTCTCTCTCCCTTCCTCTCTCTCTTCCTCTGATGCCTTCCACCATGTGGCAACGTAGCAAGAAGGCCCTCACCAGACGTGGCCCCTGGAGCCTGGAATTCACAAGCTCCAGTATCACGAGTCAGTAAGTTTTCTGTTACAAATTATCCAGTCTCAGCCCATCATGGGGGTGCACGCCTGTAATCCAAGGTACTCAGGAGGTTGAGGCTTGAGGATCACAAGTTCAAGGCCAGCCTAGGCAACCTAATGGGACTCTGTCTCAAAAAAAAAAAAAAGGTAAAGGCTGGGAATGTAGCTTAGCAGTAAAGGGTCTGTTACTGTCACCCTGACACAAAACCTAAGAGCAAGGTGACCGTCTCTACCTCGCCGACTTGTTTGGGAGTTAAGTGAGGTCACATGGAAGGACAGAGCCTGGCACTTGGCACTTCATGTCACATCATTCAGTGACGGCTCTTCTACTCTGTTTATTCCGTTCCATTGTCCTCCCCTGACTATCAAGATGTGCAGGAATTCTAATGGACCTTCAGGCAAATTGCCTCTCCCCACTCTCCGGTGGCTCTGGATAGCACACCCCAAATCCTCTCAGACTGCACATCCTGGTGTGGAGGTCCCTCTCAGCCCGGCAGGCTGGACGGTATCTCAGCGACTTCAGATGGATCCAAAGAGCACAACAACTTAAGATGGTGAAAGCTGGTGCCTCAAAGAGTAAACATCACACACTCCCAAGAGAAAAAAAAATATTATGGAGGAGACTGGTCGGCTTCCAGCGAAGTGCCCACACCCATGTTGCCTGGTGACAGCTGGTCCTCCCTCAGCCTGGCAGGGCCCTGTGCTCTCCTGTAGACACTGGACTGGAACAGGTTCAGCCCAAGCCGTCATCGAGGACAAAGTGGACCCGCCCGAGACCAGAGCTTGAGTTACATCCCTGGGTGCAACCTTACCAGATCAAAGACAGGAATACTGTTGAAGGCAGAATCAGGCCCCCAGGGATGTCCAGGCTCAAATCCCCAGAGCTCTGAACATACCTGACATAGCATGTCCATGGAGTGACTGTCTCCACGAACACTCATGCCGAGACAGGCAGGTGGTGCACGCCTGTAAACCCAGCACTAGAGGCTGAGGCATGAGGATGGCAAGTTCAAGGACAGCCTCAGCAACGTAGCAAGACTCTGTCTCAAAACTAAATTTTTAAAAATAGCTCAGTGGTAAAATGCCCCTGGGTTCAATCCCAGGTACCACAAAAAAACAAACCAACAAGAAAACAGTGGTGAACGTGATCCCCACGTGAGGTATCGTAGGGCAGAAGCTTAATGGATCCAACAACGGCATCTGGAGATGGGAGTGCAGAGGGCAATCGAGGCCCAAGGAGGACTGAGAGTGGCCCTGGTCCAATGGCACTGGAGAGACGGATGTGGGGATGCTCTATTGACAACCTATGGTGCTTGGGTCTTTGCAGCATCCCCACCAGTGGGCAGGCCCTCACCAGATATGGCCACCCAGTCTTGAATTTCCTAGCCTTCAGAACCACAAGTGGAACACGCTTTCTTTATAAGTGACTCAGTCTGTGATATCCAATTGTAGCATCGAGACACATGGCAAAGGGGACTTTGCAAATGTGATTGAATTAAGGATCTTGAGACACAAAGATTATCCTAGATTATCTGGGTGGGACCAATGTGATCACGGGGATCCCCATAAGACCAAGGCAGGAGGGTCAGGGTCAGAGAAGGAGTCATCACAATGGACGCCAGAGGGTCGGAGTCCTTGAGCTCTCTGGAGATTCAGTGCTGCTGACCATAAAGATGGAGGAAGGAGTCACGGGCAGAGAAGCGGCCGACTCTGGAAAAGGCAGCGGAGCAGGCCCTCCCTCCCGCTCCTCCAGGGCAGCGCAGCACTGTGACACCTTGATCTCAGCCGGCGAACCCCAGGTCTGGCTTCTGACCTCCAGAACTGTAAGATGATAACTTCATGTTTTTAAGTCATTAACTTTGTCCTTATTTGTTACCGTAGCGATGGGAAACTCACATATAAAGTATTGAAGTAGTCTCTCCACACAGTACATATCACCTAAGGCTCTTCTGCTACTCTGAAATGAAGTTCATACAGAGTGTAATTTACTAGCTCTTACAAAAAAAAACACAATCAACTATTATCCCACCCTAATAAGGGGGGAAGAAAATGAAAGGTAACTTATAATAAATTAAAGTACCTTGATGGTGGGGCTGGGGCTGGGGCTCAGAGGTAGAGCACTGGCCTAGCATGCATGAAGCACTGCTTTGATCCTCAGCACCATATAAAAATAAAATAAAGGTATTGTGTCCACCTACAACTAAAAAATAAATGTTAATACCTTGATGGTAAATTAAGATGCCGGTTTGCTCACTATTCACATGCTTGGGTCCAACCACAGTAGAGATGTGATGGAGTGGTCAGAACCGTGCACATCTGAGTGAAGCCCTGTGTGGGTTGATCTGGGGACACAAACCCCACGCAGGGCACAGTGCCCAGGGCATGGCTTCCTGAGATGGTAGATGTCTCTTGGCACAATCTCCCCTATAATGTTCAGTGGATAGTAGAACTTCTAAAAATTGCTCTATGATTCCATACAAAGCAGAGTTCTGGACCCAGGTGATTATAAACTGGGTTTTTGCCTGCTGGAGAGGCACATCTGGCTATCTGAGTCTCTTGGGACAGGCAAGGGTTTTTCATTATCCAAGGCTGCTCCTTGCTTCCAGGACAGCCAGCATTTCTGGCCAGCATCAGACAGTCAGGAGAGTTGACCCCAGACCAGGCTGGTCGGGGGCAGAAGGCACCGGACCTGCCAGGTAGCATGTGAGCACAGACCCAATGAAAGAGCTCTGAGCCCATTTGCCCCCGGCTGGCACCCCGGCTCCTCCAGTGACTTTTCACCAGGATGCTGATCTTTCCTGGTGGCCCTGGATGGACAGCATCATGCCTCTAGCACCTGGGGTCACTGTGATAACCAAAGACTCTCATCACATCTCTAAACTCTTCCCTGTGGTGGACTTGCCTCCTCTGGGAATGGCTGCTCCTTGTCTTCAGGAAAAGTACATTCCAAATCCTCGGGATTACTTGTCACCCTGGTGGAGGTCACCAGAGAAAGGCTACAGGAAGGACACCAGAGCTTTCTTGGACATCATACCTCAAGAGGGATGGAAGAGGTAGGTTCATTCCACACCTCCTGAGAGATCCTCCAGGACCAGGGTGGCATATCTGCATGTGACTGGCACTTCGGGTCAGTTCTGTGACCCATGGGGCAGATGCCCAGGCTATCGCTATACCTCTGTGTCAGCAGAAATGCCCGTGTGTGCACACGTGTGCACGCGCACACACACACGCGTACGCACAAAGAACATTACCACGGCTACCCAATACTTCCACACCCTAACAAGAGTTGAAGGCCATTGGTGCAAAGCAAAGGTAGTGCCAGGCCCCTGTCACACACCTCTGTGGTGGAAGGAGGTGGTGAGGAGGAGGCCAGGCCTGGGGGCTGTTCTGGAGACAGCGGTCAGTACCATGTCATGAGATGAGCCAGGGGCTTCAAGTATCCTCGCAGCATAAGGAGGCGCTCCGCTGGCTTACACGCACCTAGGCAGACTCTGTCTCCAGAGCCTGCTGAAGCTCCCGGATGTTTGACCATAAACCTGTATTTACATGATCATCCTGAGCCTGATGACACAGAGGCTTCAGAGTGACTAACTCCCCTCAGCTGGGTGGGTGACGATTCAGGGAATATGCACAAAAAGTATGAACATGGAGAGGGAAAACAGACCCACACAGTCTGTGATAGGTTTTGGATCTTTGGGAAGTTGGTGTGCCTGTGTGAATAGGGTGGCCACTGACCTACCACACCTGGGGAAAACTACTCCAGCCTTTGGGTCCCTGTTGAGCCACAGGCCTGGGGAGAGCACATCTAGTGGCCAGTCTAGGAACTGCAGGATTTTACATCTTCCCAGAGGCCTGCTGTAGTGACAGGAGACCCACCCTTGGCTGGGCCCGGCCTCTGCACCCCAGTACCTGGTACTGAGGCTCGTTGAGCTTTTTTTCCCCCTCCTTTTCTGTACTGGGAATCAAAGTCAGAGCATGACGCTTCTTGGCAAGTGCTGTACACTGAGCTACATCCTCAGCCCTAACTTTCACTTAGGCCGGAGTCCTTTAGAATGGTTTGGGGAAAAAAAATTAAAGAATATTTTGTGACACACACAAAAAAATCACACAAAATTCAAATTTTAATGGCCATATATTTAATTTTATTAGAAAACAGCCACGGGATTTACATATTTTCTAAGGCTGCCTTCACACTTCAACAGCAGAGTTGAATAGAACACAGAGTCCCCAGAACCGAAAAAAACTTACTCTCTGGCACTGTTCAAAAAATGTTCGCCAAGCCTTGCTCAAACTAAAATGGCTGCATGCCTGGACACCTAGAAGAGGCCACAGGAGCTTGCTGCTTCAACAGCCATCCCCTGGCTGCTGCATTCACTCATTTCAAAAGCAATATCAGAGACACTATCAAAGAAAGGCTCTTGTGCACGTCTAGCCCACACCTAGGATGAGCAGTGCAGGTTCTCTCCTCAATACTCATTATGTTCTATGCAGTTTCATCACTGAAAAACACATTCCCTCTGGTTCCTGTGTTCTCACAAAAATAAGTATGAAGCCGGGAATATAGTTCAGTGGTAGAGCACTTGCCTAACATGCATGAGGCCCTTGGTTTGGTCCCAATGCCCTGCCTCTAAGAAATCCTTAGTTTCAAACTGCTTTCCATCAGAGAATTCTTTTTTTTTTTTTTAAAGAGAGAGTGGGGTGCGGGAGAGAGAGAGAGAGAGAATTCTTTTAATATTTATTTTTTAGTTCTCGGCGGACACAACATCTTTGTTTTTTTGTTTTTTTTTTTGTATGTGGTGCTGAGGATCAAACCCAGGCCGCACACATGCGAGGCAAGCGTGCTACCGCTGAGCCACATCCCCAGCCCCATCAGAGAATTCTTAAATTCCCTCATTCCACATGCACTTACCAGCACATGTAGCAAGCACTATAATCAGGGTCTGAGGCACATAGACCCACAAAATGTAGGGCCTGGCTTCAAGACATTGACCATTTAAAGGAGATTATGGGCCAGGTGAGGTAGCACACACCTGTTATTACAGGGACATGGGAGACTGAGGCAGGAGGATTGCAAGTTCAAGGCCAGCCTCAGCAATTTAGACAGGCCCTAAGCAACCTAGCAAGACTCTGTTTCAAAATTTAAAAGAAAATTAAAAAGGGATGGGTATATAGCTCAGTTGATAGAGTGCTTGCCTTGCATGCACAGGTCCTGGGTGCGATCCCAGCACCACAAAGAAAGGGGAGGCTAAGGATGTGGCTCAGTGTATAGCACCCCAGATTCAAACCCTAGTACTGCAAATAAATAAATAATAAAGGGGATTATGGAAAAGCATGTAAAGATGGTTAAAGAGAGTAGGAGACAAAGAGAAAATCTTATCCAGGTGAGAATGAGGAACCAGGGCAATCTTCCAAAGAAGGGTAGAGGAAGAAGAAAGGGGAAATCAGAACTGGAGGAGACCAGCATACGCCCAAGGACCCAGAGAGGTGGACATGGAGAGACAGCAGGACACATAGAGCACACAACTGTTTCCTTCACTAGTCTGGTCCCAGGCCTTTCATGTCCAGTGACTCGTGTGCATTGGAAAGAGATTCTACTAGCAAGACGTTTGAATGCTTGGAATTGCCACGTTCCCCTAGCGCCCTGTGAGGTGGGAACTAGTGCCTTTTGGAAGATAAGAAATGGAGGTCCTGAGAAGAAATGTGGCTAAGAGCTCCTACTGAAGACACAGCATCATCTCCTCCATAGGAACCACCACTCATGTGCCCAAGGCTTCACGAGGGCCCTGATGCAGCACCGTCTGTGAGAACAAACCTGGGAAACAGCTCCCCTCCAAGGAGAATGGCTGGGGAATGAAGACCGTGCGTTCACAGGATGGAATGCCGCTAAACTGGAAAGTGGAGACAAATTCCAGAGGAATAAGCAGGATGTATAATAACATTTAGGTAAAATTCTAAGTCATGCAAAGCAATATTCCATATATATGCCGTAAAATTATGAAACAATGCGTGTGAATGAGAAATGCTGGATTTAGGAAAAGGAGTTCATTAGGAAGTAGGGTCCCAAGGGAGTGAGGCCCCAGGTTTGGTCCCAAGCAGTGCAAAAAATACAACAAAATAAGATAGCATGCTTGCTTCTATTCTTACCTCTCTCTCTGGAGAGAGCATTACAGGAGGAGGGAGCAAATAAAAAAGTTTAGTAACACAGTAGTGGAGTATTTGTAGTAATCATAAAAGTTTAATGTTGTAGAATCATAAGGTGAGTGCTGGGTGGGGCTTGAGGGCAGTGGGAGAGAATAAGATCAGGGCGTGCACAGAAGCTGACAGAACTCAGTCTAACTTTTCCCCACTGACAATGGAGAGCCAATTATGACTTCTTTATTGAATCCTCAGCAGCAACATGAGCATCGACTGTAGCTGCTGAAATCAAAAGAAGGCAGATCTTAGCGTGTTTCAATCAAAAGAGGCAAGACGTGAAACAGGCAGTATCAGTGTGACAGAAATGCACAGGTCACCAGGGGAACTTTTTTGGGGGCAGCCTATCAGGAAAAACGCCAATCAAGGAGAAAATGGGTGGAACTAAATAAATCACAGCTACTTGCGACTGCGCAGACGGTTAACCCCGCGTTAAGTGAAACAAGTCACCAGGATGCTTCACACAGGGACAAGTAGCCTTACGAGTTGACAAAAGCAACCTAACATAGATGTGACCACATACGTGTGTACGACAGAGAGGAGAAAGGCGGTGATGACTGCAAACAGGGGTGCTGCTTTGGATACAGCCTCGTGCTGTGCACTACACACGTACTCGTGCGTGTGCTGCACGTCTATGCTCAAAGCCTGAAAAAGAGCGGGGAGAGAGGTCACTTAGGGTGCCCTGAAGACAACAGTCCCGACCGAGGATTGCGCCTCCTCTACGTTGGGTATTAAAGTGCGTAATAAGGAAGAAGGGGAGCGCGCACGCGATGCGTCGTGCAGGTGGAAGGCACGCGCGCTCCCGGGTCTCCAGCCTCAGCAGCTGTCCCTTCCTCCAATGGGAAGGCGGAACCACAGCCCAGAGGCCAAGTGCCAGCTGAGCCCGCACGCGCTCGCAGGGGGCGGGGCACGCGGGAGGGCGTGGCGCGGGGGCCGCCGAGAGCTGGACAGCTCAGGGGATCAGGCAAGCTGAAAGGCGTGGCGCAGAGACCACAGAAAGCGGGGCGGTGCAGGGGGCGGTGCACGCATGAGGGCGTGGCGCGGGGGACTGCCGAGCGCAGAGCCGCGCAGAGGGCGGGGCACGTGGGAGGGCGTGGCGCAGGGGGGCTGCCAAGAGCGGGGCCGCGCAGGCGCCGGAGCGCGCTCGGCCGCCATGGCGCCGGCGCCGCCCAGTCAGCCACCGGTGGTGGCGGCGACTTCCCCTCTGGGGACCGGGTCTCCGCCTCTTGCTCCCGGCCCGCCTGCTCCGGGCTGCGGCGGCGTCCCCGCCTCTCCGCCACCCGCTCCGCGGCCCGGCCGCGGCGCTGGCTGGGCGAGGGCCGCAGTTGTCGACGCCGCCCCGCCTCCGAGAAGGTGAGTTCCTGCCGGGCGGCGGCGGCCGCCTCGGCCCTCGCCCTGCCTCGCCGCCCGCGGCCCGGAAGGCGCCATGCCGCGGCGCAGGGGTCGGAGGGCGGGCCCAGCCCCGTCCCGACGCCGCCTGCGCCTCGGCGCGCTCCTGCGGGGCCGCGGTGGAGCTGGACGCCGGGCGGGGCGGGCCGAGCGGGACGGGTCTGCCTCGGGAGCCCGGCGTCCCGGGCGCTGGGCGGGAGAGGTGGGCACGCCTGTCCGCAGGGCGCTGGTGCTCGTGCAGGCAGGGCCCCGTGTCCCCGGCTCGGTCCCCCCTCGGAGACCGGCCCCGCTGACCAGTCCAGAGGAGTGGCTCGCAGGCCCCGGACACACCTCCCAGAAGGACCGAGGAGCAGTTCGCAGGGGCAGTCGGGGTGCGCCCCGGAACAGCAGGCCTGTCCTGGGGCGGCGGCTAGAGCAGAGAACCCAGCGCTTCTGCAGGGACCCAGCCTCAGCTGTTAGAGGCCTGGGCTCAGTGGAGGGGCGCTCGCCTGGCACCTGTGCGTACCTGGATCTGATCCTCAGCAATGCATATAATTAAATAAAATAAAGGTCCATCATCAACTACAAAATATATTCAAAAAAATGTCTTTTACAGGGATCTGGAGAGTTTTTACAGTTATCACCAACATGTTTCCTGTAACACACAGTTTCTTGCCCGTCCCGGTATAAGAGACTTGGGTTCCTCCAAGTACCCTCCACGGCGGACAGTCCGCCTACAGGCGGCCGGGATAGGCTGCAAAACGTCCACAGGTGATTTCAGGGAGGGGCGCTTGCTGGGTTACCCTAAGTCACTTTCTTTATGCAGAGTAAAAGGTAATGGAGTTCATATTAAAGAGTGATTAGGACCCTTTTACCAGGAGTGACACCATAAATGTAATAACTATAAAAATACTTTATTGTGATGTGTATATTTTGTGTGCTATTCCATAATCTTACTTATTTCACTTTGGAGAAATGACCAAGGAATAAAATAACTCTGAAAACATTTTTATAAGCAGTGAATTATAAATTCCATTCCCTATATATATGCTAATTAGAATTCCATTACAATCAAATGAGTGTCTTCAGTCAGCCTGAATTAGTGTCATTGTTCTGATTTGAAACAACAACAAATCAAGAAACATCAGATTTTATCACTTCGTCCCCTCAGAAAGGTGATTGAGCCACTGAGGTGCATCCCAGTCTTTTTTATTTTATTGGAGGCAGTCTAAGTTGCCCAGGCTGGCCGTACCCTTCTCAAGCTGGAGGTCACAGGCATCTGCTGCCATGCCTGGCTGAAATATATATTTTTTTCTTTTACACCAAAACTTCCTGTCAGTGTGTCTGAACAGCTTATGGGTGTCAGGAGAGATGCAAGTCAGTGTGGCTTCATGGCCAACCCATAAGACGTGCAAACAGCACTTCACGGAAAATTAACTTTTTGCCAAACGTGGCATTTGGGTGTTTGTTTTGGTTTTTGCAGTGACTTTAAATGTGTGCAGAAAACATTAATAGGTGTCAGTCCATGTGGTGCCAACAGTCACCTTTCTGAACCACTTCAGGGTGGTAAATGAGAGCACTGGAGTAGGAGTCTTGATTTGTCCCAGGCCCTGGTGCTAGTCTCTCCACTCACTCTATGGCCCTGAGTAAGTCCCCAGTTCTTTGAACTTGACTTTGTCATCTGTTGAGTGGGGCAGCTGGACTAGCCCAGTGGTTCTCAACCAAGGGTCATTTTACCACCTACCCACCCTTGTCCCCAAGAGGATATTGGGTAATGTCTGGAGACATTTGCTTGTCGCACCACTGGGCAGGGAGGGGCATAGTGAGTGAGGGCAGGTACTAAGGGCATCTTTTTACTGTGGACCAGAAATGCCACAAACATCCTAAAAGTACACTGGACAACCTACACACAGCACAAGATCATCTTACTGAGAATGTCAGTGGTGTGCACTACAGGAGCCTGCACTGTCCAGACTTTGACACCAACAGCTGAGCAGCTCCACCCAACACACTCTCCTCAGTGGTTGTGTGCTAAACAGTGACTCATTAAACACGAAACTCGCCTGTGACCCTGTCAGACCTGCAGACTGATGAACTCGCCTGAGTCAGGGTGGAGGTCCTTCCTGTGGACTTGAAAAGCAAAATATAATTGTTACCTAAAAATACATCTTGTCACCTTTATTTCAAGTTAATATCCTTTATTAGCCACTTGACATAACATATCTAATATGGTAATATTAGATATGTTATATTTTTTAAAACACTATTGGGACTCAATATTTAAAGTTTAAAAAATACATTGCCAGCCCTTTTTATTTTTATACTATGAGATAGGGTCTCTATAAGTTGCTGAGGGTGACTCTGAACTTGTGATTGTCCTGCCTTCTGAGTCACCAGGATTACAGGCTTGTGCCACAAGCCCAGCTTATATTTTTATTTTACATAGTTATAAAAGCTTATTATTTCACATAGTTATAAATAGTTGCCAGCTATGATCATAGATAAACAAGAAGAGGAAAACAAGATACTTAATAATATCTTTTTTTTTAAAAGAACTTGTTAGAAGAGTCCTCCAAATGTTATCAAAGAATTATCCTGTTCCCAGTTATTAAAATATCTTTCTCACTTTCAAAATCCTAATAGTACCATTAAAACTGACTTGACGCCCATAGTCACAGCTACCCAGAAAGTTGAGGCAGGCAGATCACTTGGTCCCAAGAGTTCAAAGCCAGCCTGGGCGACATAGATCCTATCTCAAGGGGGTGGGAGATCACATCACCATGGACAGTTCTTTATGAATTCTGAATCCTGACGTTCTAATCAAGCACAGTGGCACATACCTGTAATCCCAACAGTAGGAGGATCTTGAGTTTGAGGCTAGCCTCAGCAACTTAGCAAGATCCTGTGACAAAATAAATGGGGGGGGAAAAAAAGGACTAAAGCTGCAGCTCAGTTCTAAAGCACCCCAGGGCTCAAGCCCGGAACCAAAAGGAGGAAAGAGAAGTATATAAACCTACGTCGTTACGTTTTTTGTCTTGTTACTTTAAAACCAAGTGCAACTATATATTTTAAAACAACTCAAAACTAATTAAGAGAACTCATCAAGTTCTTCCTAAATTGGTTCTGATTTACAATTATTATCTTGAGCACATATTTTTAAGCAAACCTTTTAAAATCTATACACTGGTACTGAAATTAAGCTTAGTTTGAATATATACAGTATAATGTAAATACTTCAGGAGATTTAGTTTACAAGGTCATATTTTTTTTGCAAAAATTAGCATAATACAGGCATATCTGAAGCAAAATTTAAATATTCTCCCCTATCCTATTCCCATTAAATTTAGTGTGTACCTTTTTAGATTTTTTTTTTCTTTATCAGTACAGGGGACTGAACCTAGAGGTGTTCTAACAGTGAGCTACGTCCCCAGTGCTTATTACTTTGAGACAGGGTCTTGGAGCTCGGCCTCGGCTTCCTGAGTGCTGGGATTATAGGGGCGCACCCTTACACAGCCTTCAGGTTTTCTCTGCACAGTTTTAGCTAGCACATAGATTGGATTGTCAAATCAGGCTCACGTGAGTCAGTAATAAAAGCCAGGATTAAGGTTTAGTGATTATTTAAAGAATACAGGCAATTGGGAGATTCCAGTGAATCAGAAGAGCATGTGGTACGTGAAAGCTCTCTCTCCAGGCTGTGTCCCCTAGTTGGTCCTGTGTCCCTGACCCAGGATAATAGATAAGGTTTTTAAGTGAGTTTCACTTCACGCGGTGGATTGTGAATCAGCTTCTTGTAGTATGGCTTACATGATGTTATTCACAAAACAGTGCCTCATCAATTTTGGATTTATTTACTGCCAGTGACTCTTTGCCAGGGACATCTTACTAATGGGACTCAGAGAGGGGGTTTCTTCCTCCTAGCAACTACCATTAAGCTCTTTTTCCCCCATTGTTTTTTTATTGGTGCTTTATAGTTTCACATAATGGAGGGATTTGTTGTTAAATATTCTTAGTTGCTGTGATCAGGCTCTTAATTCCAGGGCCCAGGAGACCTGGAGGCTAGGAATTCCCATGTCTAGGTGCCAGCCTCTGTCGAAGACCTTCTTACTACACCATTCCAGGGCAGAGGGCAGCCATGTGTGGAGGGATCACACTACGGCCTGACCCCCTGTATAACTGGTATCAATCTCTTGTGAAGGAGAAGCCCTCCTGACCTCAAACCTCCCTTTAGGCCCCTGCCTCCCAACACGGTTGCTTTGGGAATTAAGTTTTCCACACATTTTAGGGGAACATGTTAAGACCATAGTAGATCCTAATTATAAACTGGCAAACTTCTGTAAAATAAATTTAAACTGTTAGGAACTTTATATTGAAGTTCAGTTCTCAGTATTATTGTAGTCGTTTTGGGATAAATTACTTATTATGAGGAAAAAATGTTTCGCACATGTTCTAGAAGTTATATGTAAGTATAGCTTTAAGGGGCTTGAGGAGCCTACTCAATGAGATTTGTGTGGGTACATTTACAGCAACTGTGGGGAGGACATTAGTGCTGTGGGGTCATCTTGGAGTATCTACAGGGGATTGGACCTCCCCAAATAGAGCAAAATCCACAGTCCTTCAACTGTGTCCGATAAAATGCCATAGTGTCTACACACAGCCCGCACACATCCTTCAGTGCTGTAAGTCACCTCTAGATGCTCATATACCAGATACACGTAGATGCTTGTAATCAGTGGCGATACTATATTGTTTAGGAAATAACGACAAGAAAAAAAGGTCTGTACGTGTTCGAATAGACATTCAAACACATCCAACCACGGTTGGTTGGGTCCGAGGATGTGGACCCACAGACATGGAGGGCCTGCTGCAGCTGAAGTCAGCAGCACCATAAAGTGGGCTACATTTCTTGTGATTGCTCTAAAACAAAACACCAGGATGATCTCTTACCCACTCTTCAATATCGGTGTTCCAGATCACGTCCCAGAAGTCCAGGTCCCACGGTGCCCCTTAACCTTTCCTTCAGAGCAGTATTCTGAACCAAATCAAAATGTGTCCGTATTAGAGATTTACTAAATGTTTTCACATTAAAATTGCTGTTCTAATGAGCACAAGAAGCTATTGCTGTCACCTGTAAGCACTTGGGAAATGAAGATTTGGGATGGTTCATGAAATGATGCTACTAGCTGAAGGTCAGAAACATTGCCTTAGGTGTTTAATCTGATCCTGTCTTTGCCTCCCTTTACTTCCTCTATAGGGACCACGTTAAATGAACAAAGACTGAACTGTCACAGATACTTTTTTATAAAAGGCCTCCGTGGACTATTGCTTCAGCCTGACTGATAAACAAGTTCCTATGATGAGGTAAGTCGAACATAAAGAGAACAGGACCTCCAGAAGCTTAAATGGAGCAGGGAACTTCAGAGTGTCATCTGTTTGACCCTTACAAGAACCCTATGAAGGAGGTGCCCCTGTCCTCTTGACAGATGGTGGGACTGCTCAAGAGTGACTTACCCCTTTGGAATTAGGGTTTAAACTCAAGTCTTTGTAACTCCAAAATTCATTTGCTTTCCCCATGTCTTCCACTGGATCCAGAAAGCCCCTGAATTCTTAGTTCTTATAGTATCATAAAGCTTGAGCAGGAACCTATTAATCTGGATCAAGGCCCAAAGAGGCTTCCCTTGTAGTAGTTGAAGGTTATGAATATGATATGTAGCAGTCTCACCCTTGACCTAGGCTTTTGTGTGTGTTTGTTTGTTTGTTTAGAATTTTTAGTCTTAGAATATAAGAGTGTTAAAAACAGAAGGTAAACATTTACTAGTCAGTCAGGCACAGTGGCACACATCTGTAATCCCAGCAACTTGGGAGGCTGAGGCAGGAGGATCACAAGTTCCAGGCCAGCCTCAGCAACTTAGCAAGACACTGTCTCAAAAACTAAAAATGGCTAAGGAAGTGGCTCAGTGGTAAAGCATCCCTGGGTTTAATCCCCAGTAACAAAAAAAAAAAAAAAAAAAAAAACACAAAATCCATTGGCCCTACTTTCTTAGTTTATAGCCAAAGAAACTGAGATCCAGAAGAGAGGGATTCTCCTTAACTAGTCATGGGCATGACAGAGCCTGCAGGTGAGATGCGATCCTGCCCGTGCCCATTCCCTTTGTGGGTGGGGCTCCCAGTGGAGTCTTCCCTGTGTGGGGATCTCCTGGAGAAAGGGCCGTCTTGTACTCTCCTGCTTTGCCTGGCACAGGAAGCCATCTTTCCCACGCTGACCCTTTCATTCTCCTAAGACCGGACAAGCTGTTGGATCTCTTAGGTCTGGTACCTGCAGACCAGGAGGACACATTTACTGACCTGAAGCACAAAGCCAGCTTTGCAGCTCTGAGGAGCGGCTCTATTTTCACCCACCGGTGAGCTTGTAGAAACTGCGGTTTAGTTCACGTAAGGCTGAGATAGAGCACCATGATTGCAGACACGTCTTGGCCTGGGATGGAGTGGACTCGGGTCTCCGCTCTCCTATGAATTGTTACCTCTCTGTTCTCTCAACCTGCAGAGTGGGGTTGATGATCTGTGTGTTGCCATAGTTGTGAGTATGTCTAGTCTGATCCTTTCCCCACAACGAAAGCCAGGACTGTTGAAGACATGACCACAAGATTCTACAACTATAAAGTAACAGTCAATATAGGAAGGCGTGTAAAAACAAGACAATAAAAACCACTCGCAGCTGTACTCTGAAAATGTTTGCATCTCCTTCTCCCTATATCAACGCTTTAGTTACATGGTCAATTTAAACTAATTTGGAGATTTGCCCTGGCTTGAACCTCTAGAGGCCTCTTCATCCTCCTACTTACGGGAGGTTGGAGGTAGGCAGTGCCAGGCAGCTGCAACAGCTCCATGACGTACGTCGTGGAGAGGACCAGATTGGTCCTTGGGGCACTGGCTCCCCTCCCCATGCCCAGGATACTGAGCTCTGCCCAGGTGTCTCGTTCCAGCAGCAGGAGGGAGGAGCTCTGCTGCAGCCCTACAGGGCCTTGAGCTTTCTTTCAGAATTTATTCAGATGACCGAATCTTTAAGAGTGGCCAGGAAATGTCATCTTCTAACTAGACATATTGCCTAAGTTTTGTTACTAAGGAAGGGCAAAGTATTTTGAGAAGCAGCTAGTCATTTCTCATAAGTAGGAACATAGCTAGGTACAGTGACACATGCCTGTGATCTCAGTGACTTAGAAGCTGAGGCTGGAGGATCACAAGTTTAGGGATAGCCTGGGCAACTTAACAAGACCCTGTGTTGAAGTAAAAAATTATAAAGACTTGGGGATATAGCCAGTGATAAAAACCCCCTGGTTCAAGAAACAAAAACCAATAGAAACATAAAAATGAATGACTTCTAAAGCTGGCCATGGGCACAAACTTATAGTCCCCACTACGTGG